CATCGACTTGTTGTTCATTTTCTGCTGTAAAACAGGATGAAAAATATTTTGAGGTGGGAGAATCGCACATTTAACGAGACCTGAGATAGAGGAGAGTGACACAATAGAAGCCTCCTCACCAACGAGTACTTTCGGATGACCCACAGGAAATTTGCCATATTTACATACCCACGGGTAGAGCGAACAAACGTCAACGTATTTAATTTGTTCACCATCCCTGGCCTTGTAATATTCGACAATATTTCCCGTTCGACCACCATAGAAAGCATCTCGAGGGTCAAGGGGTAGATTTTTAGGCAGGGGATGATTGGTGACAAAGTTGCAAAGTTCGTCACTGCTGGAAAGTTCCCTGCGAAAATCACACTCCCATTTGTGTCATGACGATGGTTCATAGTTTCGGAAGGGCAGTTTTTGAGAGGAGTATCTCTCTGATCAATATAGCAACGGGGACAACCGTGATAGAAGCAACCTTGAAACTCGAAAACTTGTTTTGTTTCCGCCGAATAGCCATCAACTTTGAGATTACCGATATGGGCCTCTGAAGATCGGCAGGCCTGTTGGATTTTTATATCCCGTAGTTTCTCCTCCCAAAGTAACCACTGGGTGGCTATCACAGATTGATTATCACGATGTCTGTAACCACCCTTGGGAATGATGCCTATGGTGTTTGGTTTGAGAAAATTTCTACGGAAAACCTTATTGCATGTCGAAGCGATCGTTACTGCTTCAGTGAACGGACATACATTAGTTTCAGACAGCATGAGCTGTCGAAATTTCAAACAGGCCTTGGTCAGAATATCCACATCAGAAATGCAATTGTCTATGATTTCTCGAGAGAAATCGAAAACATAGTTTTCATCGACTCTTTCAGCATGCCATTTTATGAGAGATGCGCGAGCATCTGAAGTGAGATTGTCTGGGGTGTAGAACTGTAGAGAGAATCCGAAAGATTTAGGCAGTTTTGCCAGGGCCATTGGGAAATAATTGAGAGAGTCCAAAAACTTGACATTACCAATAGTCATGGAAATTAACCCGCTACCTCTCATAATGAGATCAGGTTTCAGGGTGGTTTTGGTCAAAATATGATTGAGAATGAACTGAAAATCGAATGTTCCACCGTTGTGAGCAATAACAATGACATTTTTGAATTTCTTCCTTATTGTCAATACATGATGAACTAATGGAGATATGGGGTCGTTACACTTGAGAATTTGTAAACGAACCCCGCATTTCGAACAAATCTGCTGTGTAGTATCGATGCAAACGTCACAGCATTGACGAAAGACACACAGATTAGGCTCGTGAAGAAGAGCTCCATCCGGTTGTACACGCTCCTGACGAGTCTCTAGATCAAAAAAGATAAACAAGAGATCATCAGTCTTGGGTACTTTCGTGTCGGGCTGGATGAAACATAAATGATCAACGGACTGATGCTTGTTGCAAATCTTGCAATAGATCTCTCCGCAGGTGTGGGCTCTATTGGTAGGGACAATTTTGAAACATTCCTCACAACGTATAATCTTATCACAAACCCCGTTTTGAATATGGTTATCAAAACAGCCCTGTCCACGGAAAGATTCAAATTCAAATTCAAATTCAAATTTATTAAATCCTTTTTCCCTATAGTACAATAGATTGGACGAGTCGGTACATGTATATGTACAATAAAAAGCATAGAACATAGAACATAGAACTGATATAACAACTGTAACTGTCCTAGAAATGAGAATAGAAACAAATACACTGATATTGGACGAAATAAATTAGTATAAAACATTTCAATTATTGGAGAGAAAAACGTCAAACTCCCCCAGATCATAAAAACAATTATTTGCTAAAAAGTGTTTCAACCTACCTTCAAAAACTTCGTATGTAGGACTGTTTTTCAAGTGACTGGGAAGCCTATTGAAGTAAGAAACCCCAGCGATAAGAGGTGATTTTTTATAGTAATTGTGATTTGCTCTTCTGAGCAAAAAGTCATTTTTATTTCTCGTGTCATGCTTATGTATATCACTATTTTTTGTTAATTTATGTTGGATTCGATAAGTATTGCTCAGTAATTTCAATAGATAAATAGAAGTCACCGTTAGAATTTTCTTGTCTCTAAATATGTTGCGACACGAAGTTTGAAAAGGTAAATCAAATATAAAGCGAACTATCCTTTTTTGCAATACGAACACTCTTTGAACTTCACGTCCTTGTCCCCAGACAATGATACTGTACGCAATTGCAGAGTATGCATATGAGTAATACACATTCAACAGAGTATCTCTATCTAACATGGATTTTAGGACTGTCAATAGGTAAAAGCATTGGTTGATTTTTTTGCATACAGCATTGGTTTGCTCTCCCCATGAAAGGTTACTGTCGAATAAGGTTCCCAGAAACTCAACCGTTTTTGATTTTGCAATGACAGTATTGTTTAAAGAGATAGAACAGTTTGATGGTGATTTGAGCGTAGAGTAATATTCAATGCACGCCGTTTTTTTTATATTCATCATCAATCTATTTCGGTAGCACCAATCTTGAAATTGATTCAGTGTGTTGGCAATTTTTTCAGAGAGTGCAGTTTCATTACTGTCTGATATAATTGATCATGTATCATCTGCATACATGAGAATTTTAGCGTCCGTCAGATAACTAGGAAGGTCATTAATAAATAATAAAAATATCAACGGGCCAAGAACACTGCCTTGAGGAGTTCCTAGCTCCATATTGAACTCATTTGAGAAGACATCATCAATTTTCACAATAATTCTTCGATTTTTCAGGAATGAGAGAAACCAGTCATTGATACAACCACGAATGCCAAGCTGATACAATTTTTCAGAAACAAAAGATTTTTCGACGGTGTCAAATGCCTTTATATAGTATTGATACCACATATTTACCGCGATCCATTTCATCATATATATGTTGGGTGTACTCAGCCACGCTCGTCTCAGTTGAGAAGCCACTTCTGAAACCATGCTGATTACTAGTTATTAAGCTAAATGAACATAAATATGTTTCCACCCTCTGAGAGACCACTTTTTCAATTATTTTTGAGAAAATACTCAATAATGAAATTGGACGATAGTTTTCGACATTACTGGGGTCATTTTTCTTGTACAGTAACATGACTGAAGCTATTTTCAGACTTGAGGGAAATTTGCCTTGTCTGATTGATAGATTAATGCTATGAGCTATAATAGGGGAAATGACATCTTTACAGCGTTTTATGACCGAAACCGGTATTTTATCAAGACCGGTAGATTTTTTATTTTTCATTGAGTCGATTACTTTCATAACGTCTTCTTTATTAACAGGTACGAAAAACATAGATCGTATAGAGAAATCACTCTTGGAGCATGAAGGGCTCAAATTATTGCCGAAGTGATCAAACAATTTCTTCTGAATATCCGTCGATAAGTATTCACCGAAGGCTTCAGCCTTTTCAGCAGTATCACTTATTACATTGTTTTTATAATTGATTTCTTCTATTTTGTTATTTTTATGCTTGCCCTTTGCGTGATTCACAATAATTGACCATGCTGTTTTGTTTTTATTGCTGGATTTTTCAATAAGGTTTTTATAATATTGTTTCTTTTCGTATTCTATTTGTTTATTTACTCCTTTTTTCATGACTTTATAATATTTTTCCAAACTCTCATCTGAGACTCTTTTGCGCAGCCAGTCTAATTTTCGTACTTCATTGCTCTTTTCATTCAGTTCATCTGAAAATTTTATTTTCTTATTTGTATTCACTTTGGTACCGATATTTTTTGTTTTTTTTTTCAAATGCAATATTGAAACACCATAGGAATTCGTCCAAGAAATGTTCAAATACATTATTTACCTCATCACTACTGTTCACATCAAAATTTATTTTAGAAAAATGGTACATAAATTCATTCATGGCATTGTCATTGAAATCCCTAAAAGTGTGTATTTTTACAATATTATCTATATGTTTGGATTCTCGGAGTAATTTCCAGTCAACGATTTGACAATAATGATCTGACAGTCCTGGATCAAAATTCGAAGCTTCAAACATGTGAGGTGCGTTGGTGATTATATAATCTATGGATGTAGAGCTAGTATAAGCTAAGCTAGTGAAAACTCTCGTGAAATCTGTGATTAATGAGGTCATCCCAAACGAGCTTAGCACATCAAACAACATTTTTGTACTCAATTTATTACTAAATTGGTCAATATTGAAGTCACCGCCAATAATTACGAACTTGTATTTCCTCAGTGACAAGGACAAGAGCATGGAGAATTGCGTAAAGAATAGTTCAACGTCATTTGTATCATCAGAGGGAGGCCTATAAATATTTACTATACAATATTCTTTTTCGTAAGATATGGCACAACATTCCATTATCATTTCGATACTTAATGATTTAATGGATTCAATAGGATAACATTCGTCTAGAATGGTGTTTTTTACGAAGATGGATGCGCCTCCATTTCTGTGATTCGTTCGAGACAAATGAGCTATCGGTATGAAATCCGCAATGAATATATTGTTTATATCAGTATCATTATACCAATGCTCACAAATCATCAGAAATAGAAAATTGTAATTATCTATGAAGAGTTCCATGGAATTAATTTTATTAGATGAACATTGGATGTTTATATTTAGAACACTAAGCACTTCACAGTCGTCAACCTCGTCATCGTCGTTTAGTTGACTTGGTCCGGCGAGGCAGGGTCCGGAAATTTTTTTAAAAAAGTAAAACGTTGCACGGCACATTCTTGTGGCCAGATATAGGGGTTATAAACCTCATTCACTTTTGACAGTGGAAATGCTACTTTAAATGACGCTAACATATCATCTTTTCTTTTCAGTTTCTCGCAGCTGAAGTAAATGTCAGGTGCTGATTTTTTTAGAAAACTTGTTAGGGAGGCCTCTGTTACCTCTGAGGATAGTCGGAACACATGGAGATATCCAAGCTTCGGAATAGTTTTTATGTCGTTCGTTTGTTTTCTCCCGATAATAATATTCTGTTTACGTCTAGTATTGTTCTGATGATTCATTTGACCCGGTAGTGTTCTGCGACTGGCCACAGATACCTCGGCTTGGCTTTTTGCTGGATTATCTTTTTTGCACTGATTTGGGTCTTGATTAGTGCTGATTGTTTTCAAAACATCTGAAAATGACTTGCTACTAGATGGCTGATGCTGTTGAGACATCGGTTCCTCTGTGATACGAACGCTTCCGCTAGGTTTGGAGTTGGGATCTTCGTCGTTAGGTGTCGTCTGCTCTTCTGGTTGTAGACGCTGAGTCAATGGTTTCTGTATATTTGTATTCCTTCTAGATTTAGAGTTGGTATTTATGTCGCTAGGTGTCTTTTCATGAGTTGAATGATTCTTATTATAGGATAATAGTTTGTTAATTTGTTCTTGATCGCAGATTCGTCTCTCTAAATTCTCCACAAGATTGCGTAAAATATCATTTTCTCTACTTACTGCTTTCAGTTCTACATTTGCACGAGCACACCGAAGATTGCTGCACCCATCATGCGAGGTTAGGTAGCCATTCATGATGTGGGAAGTATACGATTTCTCTACTTCTTTGCATTCACAATACTCCTTGATATATTTTTTAACTATCGCACTATTCACATTGCTAGTGGGCACTATTTTGTACACAAATAAGTTTATTAATTCACTTTTGGTGAGTTTGTTTAGTTCAGTAACAAGTATCTTGTCTGGCTTGTCCGCCATCTTGACATCACATCTCTTACAAGAGTTGCAGGGAACTTTTACACTATTCTTGGAACATGGTGGTGATGCTCGGCACGAAAAACAAGTACCACCACAGCGATGACTACCCTTTGTATTATAGGGCATGTGACATTCCTCACAATAAAAGTCACAGCAGAAGGCGGCAGTAAGTGAGGTAATGACATTAAAGTGTCCCTCATGATGGAGTAAATTCAGTGAGAGACCCTCATCCCCACCCTTGAAAATGATGTTTCGGCCCTTGTTCCCATATAGATATACTGTTATTTTATATGACGAGAGATATTGCTGGAACTGTTGTAGCTCTGGTATTCCGCATCCCTCCGTAGGTACGGTAACCCCAGCATCAGAAACTAACTGCAGAGCACGCTGATTCTGCAATTTTCTAATATTCCTACGTACATCATTATATTTCGGGTCTTTGTCTGCGAATGCCTGAGCTACAACAAGTGCTCGAGGAAGACATAAATTGTCTTTATTCTTTATAGCTATAATCCCCTGACGTTTGCTACATTCCTCGTCAAAAGAGTTGTAGCAACGCCCTCTTCCTCTGCCAGCAGGTAACCTACAAGAGGTTACACTGAGACAAAAGGTCTCGGTGTTTAGGCCACAAGAGTTTGATTGATAAATGGATGATATTTTTTCGAAAATATCATCCACCGATACCTCTGAAGCAGTTTTGAAAGCTATCCACCCTGGTCCCCTCGCGAAATCTTTAGAACAAAACGAGAAACCTACCTTATCGGTTGGATGCAGGCCCTCAGTGCCTTTTAAAACAATGTCGGTGACTGCATCCTTGATATAGGCCACCGGTTCCTTGTTTTGAGGAATAGGTTTTATATTAGACTCTAAAGTACGAGCCTGTACGCCGAAGCGATAATTTTTCTTGACCACGTCTTTAACAATCAAGAATTTCTCCATTATGAATATCAAATAAATCACACTATCGTCGAATGATAAAAATCGAAGCAAGCACAAATATATATATATATAGAGAAAACTGAAGGTAATGTCGGTGAGATGTAACGATTGAAATTTTCTAGAATCAGCAATTAAAAAAAACTCAAAATTATCGACAAATCCAAAATTTCGAAAAAGTCAAAAATTCTCAAAAAATCAATATCAACAAAGAAGCGAGCTGTATGCAAACTGCGAAACTGAAAAATAAGCAAAATGAATAATCAGATTATTTCTTACACAGAGAGAGAGTGAGAGAGCAACCGATCACCACGAAGACTGAGCAGGAAATGAAGTTGGATCATCATTGCTATTAGGGTATTCGACACACCTAGGATGAGTTCATTATCGGTGAATAGGAGTGGAGGAGGTAGGATGAGCAGCTCTAATCACGTTTGGACGAGTCCATTATTTTGGAGAAAAAGGTAATGCAATAACTACACAGTGCTTCGACACGTGTCAAGGTCATTTTGTGGTAACTGAGAGTATATACCATGTCGATTAAACATGATTGTTTTGTATAAGGAACGATATATTATGTGAAAAAATACGAAAAGTCCCAGATAAAACTGGAAAAGCACTTTTAGCAAAACCGATATCGTTTCCTTTCTTTCTGCGCGGAAAAAACATCTCATTAGCCTTTCCTTTCAGTAATCATGTTTTGTGGTTTCCGTTCGCTTATTGTATGAGAAAACGTTTTTCAATCTCTCCCAGTTTTCATTCATATTTTGTTGTGAAAACTTTTGCAAAATGAGTGAATGCGCGTGCTTAGTAAAATTTAATATACTCACAGAACATTTTGTCTATATTAACTTCAAATTAGCAGCTGTTGAACAGATAAATTATTATATTTTGATTAGTTTCAAAATAAATAATCAGTTATTCTGGTATGAAGTTACCCTAGGTGACAATTATGACGAAGGTGATGTGTTACAACTTCAATTTTACCGTGACGGTGTGCTTTGCTGGGGATATAATTTTTTCGTGTGTGAAGACATCTTTGAGACTGTGGACGATGATTATTTATTTACTAGTGGACGTTTTCAGTACAATATTGTGCCACACCTCTCCACAGTCTATGTTGATAGTTGTTGTGAGGAGTAAAGGTATATATATATATACGTTTCAATCTTTTTTTTTTATTGTTTTCAAAATCAGTTCGTTTCCGTACAGGTTAGATACATATTTCTCGATGATTTCTCGATATCCTTGAAATGAAGGAAATCTATAAATAGACATTTGAGATTATTGAATACGCACATTATGCTCGTGTCTTTGACGATTTGAGTTTTCATTGTACAGCTTGCTTTAAGACATCCTCAACAGGTAACTTTTCCCTTTCGACTTTATAGTTCATGCTGTGGAGTACTACTGAGATCAGCATCATCAGGAGTTTTGGGTTAAACAAATGGTACGACCAAGTGGTTCAAACAAGAGCGGTTCAGTGGCTTGAAGTTGATAAAGTCCAGGTAACATCGTAACAGGTATGTGTACTATGTTTTTATTCATGAATAATTATAATCAATGATACTATTTTCATTTATTCTTCAATTTTGACATCTTTTTTATCTTCTGGAACGATCTTATGTTACAAAAAAATCAAAAGTTGGGGTCGTTTTTACACAGTGTTCATAAATGGACAACAATGGTAGATTTCGGGAAAAAAACAACTACTTTCCTGGCTAATGCCCCAGCAGTGGATTACATTCTCCTGAAATCTGTGCATCGACTCGTATAAACGAATACCGATACAAGTGTTTCTTTCCTGAATGCCTATTGATTTTGACCTAGCCAGGCCACGCTCCAGACACCTACAGACCGGTTTCGAGTTCTTAGGACTCAGCTTTTTCAGCGTAGAGTCTACCTAGTTGGGCGTCGATCCGACTTGAACGCTCTGTTCCATTTCCGTTTTTTTTTTGTGACGGCCCGGGAGAAAAATGTATCAGAGAGCCTAAAAGAAAAATTCACTAGCTTGTCAGTGACAATTTGTATTGAAAAATTTTTGGAGAAGAGAAATAAAGGTATATAGAAAAAATATCAAATTTTCACTTATTTTTGGACGTTTCGGGACCGATTCTGTTGAAAACCACCTCCTCGATTAACCTACAGACAGTATTCGAAGTTTCTTGTTCTGCCTGTTGTGTGCGTTATACCTGCTTCGATGTCGTCTTATATGATCGTTGCGAACTGATATGCTTCGAAAGTATCCATGTGAGATGATAGAAAACAGAGATACAGTGTGCAGACTGATGTAGTCGAAGTATCTTCACTTGCCTATTAATCTCGTTATATGTCCTTCAAACTCGTCCTATATGGTCAGTGCGATCGTATCTGTTCCAACTGTAGGCATGTCAGATGCTAGAATTTCGAGCCACAGTGGGAACATAGTCAAAGTTTCTTGTTCTTCCTGTTGTATGCGTTATTTTGATCCAGGAAAGACTCGACAATGTCTACCTACAAGATGTATAACGAACTTATTATTGAGATTGAAAAATTCGAAGTTTTGGCGAACACGTCCGGTTACCGACTCTGGATTGTTGGAATCGAAGTTCTTGGTGGATATGAAAAAGTACTCCACCCGCATATATTGTGCTGTCATATATGCTCTTGAATAGGCATTTCAGATGCTAGAATGCAAAGTTACAGTGTAAACATAGTCGAAGTCGAAGTTTCTTGTTCTGCCTGTTGTGTGAGTTATACCCGCTTTGATGTTGTATATGATCGTTGCGAACTGATATGCTTCAGAGGTATCCATATGAGATGATAGAATACAGAGAAACAGTGTACAGACTGATATAGTCGAAGTTTCTTCACTTGCCTATCAATCCCGTTATATGTCGTTCAAACTCGTCTAATATGGTCAGTGCGATCGTATCTGTTTTAACTGTGGGCATGTCAGATGCTGAAATTCAGAGCCACAGTGAGAACATAGTCGGAGTCAAAGTTTCTTGTTCTCCCTGTTTTTTGCGTTATTTTCATCCAGGAAACACTCGACAATGTCTACCCACGAGATGTATAACGGACTCATTATGAAGATTGATAAATTCGAAGATTTGGCGAACACGTCGGTTTACCGACTCTGGATTGTTGGAATCGAAGTACTTGGTGGATATGAAAAAGTACTCCACTCGCATATATTGTGCTGTCATATATGATTCTTGGATAGGCACTTCAGATGCTAGAATGCAGTGTAAACATAGTCGAAGTCAAAGTTTCTTATTCTGCCTCTTGTGTGCGTTATACCCGCTCCGATGTCGTCTTATATGATCGTTGCGAACTAATATGCTCCAGAGGTATCCATGTGAGATGATAGAATACAGAGATACAGAGTGCAGACTGATGTAGTCCAAGAATCTTCACTCGCCTATTAATCTCGTTATAATTCCTTCAAACTTGTCCTACATGATCAGTGCGATCGTATCTGTTTCAACTGTAGGCATGTCAGATGCTAGAATTCCAAGCCACAGTGTAAACATAGATATTTCTTTCATTGTGCGATGTATTTGTATTTGTTTCAACGCCTTTGAGCTCGGCTATTGTAAGCTGTCTTTTCCATTTTTGGCCTTTGAGACTCAATCCTCTACTTTTTGTTGCATTTTGTAGAACCATTCTAAATACGCTTGGT